TATATATATATATATATATTGGGCCGAGATTTGGGCCAAGGAAATAAGAGTGAGATAGTTTGGGCCCATTCTAGGTTTAGTTCGAATTTCATAGGCCTAATAATATTTTTCGGCCCATTGGGCCCTTAGGATGGTTCACGGCCCAATATGGTATAAGGGAATGGGTTTATGGCCCATTCGGGCTAACTAATTCATTTATGGCCCAATAAGGCCCATTAGGGTTAGAATGAATCATTTTGGACCCAAATGGTCCAAAATGTTATAGATTTATGAATTGGGTCAATTTAGAGCCCATTTAAGAAAATCCTAGTCCATAAAGAACTTGAACCGGGATTTTTAGGGTTTTCAACTCCCAATTGACTTTCCGAAATGTTTTGCATAGAGTTTTGAACTACAATTGTGGATCTTGACTAAATTTGTTGTCATAGAATGAACATAGTGCATATCATCAAGTTAGGGTTACAAGGATTATCATAGTTAATGTTTACATGATCACAGAATTTCCTGACAAAAATGACAGTTGTGACACTGTATCAAAAGGAATAATTGATAAACTTACTTTATACACCAATGGTAGCCTTGGGATTTTGGGAATTGGGCGTTGATAGAATGGCACAAAGTTGTATGTTGATGGGGGGCAGTGAAATGTTGCTAGACGTTCACCACTGTCTATATCTGTCTAATATGAGTCTTGTGCAAGTGGGAGATTGAAAGATCTAGTATGCTCAAGAATCATATTAAAGTGATATTGCTAATTAACATATGATATTAATGGGTCACACTAAGAACAACTTGATACAATTGATTATTTATTAGAAATTGATTTTAATAAATATTCAATAAACTCTTATAATTAATTGGAAATTATTATTTCATGGAAATATTATTTTTCATTAGCATGTAACATAATATATATATCATATGGTATGATTTATTAAGTCATGTACATTATTTTGGACTAGAAATACTCTTTTGTCTTTTAGCTAAAAGTTAAAGTTTGTATCTTATAAAGATTTATAAAAATTTTATAAACTTCTCTTCTCTTTTATTTATAAAAAAAAGATGAGCTAGTTTCTAGGAAACAAGACATGCTGTTTTGAATATAATAAGAGAAAGTAATCATGACTTAAAAGGCATGAGAGACATATAGACTTTAGGATATGAAATGCTTAAAGTGTTAAGAATCATTGGGTAATGATTTAGCCTTATGAAGGCTTTCATCCCTTCATTTTGTACTCATCAAAATTGTAGCTCCCTCATACTCTTTCATATTCTCTCTTGCAAAGAAATGTTATAAAATTACTTGCTTGCATTTTGCTCTGTTTAAGTCATATTTGGATATGGACTTAAAGCCTAAGAGTTTTGACTAGAATCTACATCAAGTTGGCTTCATGTTGGTGTCTCAAAGGTTCCACATTCTTCATCAACTTCCTAGCCTCCCAAGAGGACCCAAAGAACAACAAAGGTTGTTATTTCTTCATCCTTTCTTTGGTTGGTGTTTAGATCTTTCTATAACTTGCAAGATGATCCTTGGTGGGTATAAAATGTTTATGTTATGTTCGAAATTTAAAGTATTCCATTTGCCATGATATGAGTTTTTAGAAACTATTTTTGAACAAAAACCCAACAAGGACAATTTATGGATGGTATACCGGGATGATCTAAACCAATTTCTGCAATCTCAATCCATTTTGATAGTCAATCGGCAATTGAATGGACGCAAAGTGCTATGTATAATGGTAAGTCGCGACATATCTATCGAAGAAACAACATTATTTGACAACTACTCTCAACTGGAGTTATCTCAATCGACTACATAAGGTCCAAGGATAGCATTGTGGATCTGCTAACTAAAGGGTTAAATAGGGAGTTAGTTGCAAATTCGTCAAGAGGAATGTGATTAAAGCCCATGAACGAATACCAACTTAGTCGACTGGAGATCCCAAGATATAGGTTCAATTAGACAACCTACTTGTATATAACATATGTGAATCACTGTAGGGGTCAACCCAACCCATTCCTATAAACAAACAGTGATGCAGGTTAAGCTTATAGTATTCGATGATAAGTTTGAAATCATCAAATCTTAGCTTTTAATGATTATCGTAGAATCACCTACGTGAGAAAGAAGTGAGGTCACTTCAAAGGGAATTGAATGGACAAATTTCTAAGAGCTCTTATAGAACTAGGCAAGTAATCATGACCATAACAAACACATCAATGAGAACCTAGCAAGGTCATGGAGAATCATGTGAGACATGTATTGATTATTTACACAAATATCATAACAGTTCAAGGACATCGAGTCTACTGGTCCGCTAGTAAAATAAATATGTATCTTAAGGGAAGGTTCAAAGGGTAGCACCTACCTATCATATGCATGATTAACTGCTGGATTTTACCTAATCAACTTGAAACTATTGAAGCAATTTTCATTCATGTGGGGGATTATTGGAAAAATAGTTTTACTAACTTCCACAATGAGTTTTTTTTTTCATTCCAATTTTTAGCATGAATTTCATACTCTAAATATAATCAAAATGTACAAAAAGATTATATGTTCATGTTCTCCTCCGTGATACCTTCATTTTGATATATCATACGTCCAAAATGGATTAAAATTGAATGATAAATTATATGTTAAAGTGAGGTGTTTAGAAGTGGATTAATTAAGTTTTTCACTTCTTTGCTTCATCCCACATAGGTGGGAAGAAGAAAAGAAAATGAGTTTATAACTATAAGGACTTCTTAGCCTTGTAAGACTTATAGAACCAAGAATCTCTCTTGTGCGAACGTAGTGGGGGGGGGTGCAAATGCGGGCCAATTTGGCTTATGTTCACTAGACTTGTGTGCAAGCATACGTCCTGCAAGTACGAATGCACCACTAATCGACCAAAAAAGTTCAAGGACCTTTTTGCAATTATTTTCTTTTTCGTACTGAAACTGTATCAATTATAAACCCGAAGTTAAACGCCATTAATCATAGAGTTGGTTTTAATTTCTTAACTATGCCATTTAACTTTGACAATTGCGATTTCGTATTAATCACATCAGTTACGTTTTGCAGTATAAATATTGCATCTCCTTCACTGATTGGGTTACACGAGATGATCGAACCATCTCTTTCTCTCTTCCAATTCTAATTCTGTTTCTTCCTCTTGTTGCAACCAAGGTATTCTCCAGGCCAATTGAAGGTTCGAGCAATCTAGAAGAATTGCTTACTGATGTTGTATCATGGGAAACAAACACCCATATAGGGCGAGTTTGTTTTAAGGAAACTGTTTCAAACACATGCCTCAACAACAATTTACTGTTTGTTCTTTCGTGCAGATCATAAGGGTTATATTTTCCTAACAAAACTTGTAATTCGCTAGTTGCAACTCTTTCTTTTACAGGGAATTTGGGTTACGCTAACCAATTGTTTGATAAAATGACCATAAAAGATATTCGTTTATCTACACTGGAGATCGATGTATTTTTATGGAAGTGTTGAAGAATAGCTCAATCAGATAAAACTTTTAGCTTCCTGGATAATGTTAATAACCAAAAGCCAAAATGTAAACAATTCGATTCTTGCACTTTTGATTATTTACAGGTTGTGTTTAGAGAGTGGTGATCATGGTGTTAGTGGTGATTGGTAAGGATGATAGTGGGTCCAAACCCGACCGGAATAGACCCCAACCCGGAAAACCCGGGAACCGGTTAACGGGATTTTGTAGGATCGAAAACCAGTCCGGTGTTCTAGGTAAGGTACCAGGTAAAGTCGGTCTAGAACCAGAAAACCCAGAAACATCAAAGTGGGTCTGGTGGAACCGGAAAACCCGGGAAAACATATTTTTTTGGTAATTACTTAGTGGGTTGAACTTTGAAAATTTTCAACTTTGATATCCCAACTTCGGGGGACTGTAAGTCATTGCATATTAAACCAAAAATGACAAAATTATAGTCTAAAATCATGTAAAAACTCTAAACTACACATTGGAGAAAACCTCATGTCAATCCGACTTCAAACGAATTAGATATGTATGTTTTAAAATTTCACAGAATACAAAAAAAAAAAAAAACTGAAAAATAGCAAATTTTCAGCTTTGATATCCTGACTTTGGGGGATTGTAAGTCAATGAATATGAAACCAAAAATGATAAAATTATAGTCTAAAATCATGTATAAACTCTAAACTACGCGTTGGAAAAAACGACATGCTAATACGACTTCAAAAGAATTAGATATGCATGTTTTAAAACTTTCACAGAATACAAGAAAAGATGAAAAACAGAAAATTTCCAGCTTTGATATCCTGACTTTGGGGGACTGTATTTCAATGAATTTGAAACTAAAAATGACGAAATTATAGTCTAAAATAATGTAAAAACTATAAACTATACTCTGGAAAAAACCTCATGTCAATCGAACTTCAAACGAATGAGATATGCATGTTTTAAACTTTAAACAGAAACCTATTCCGACCCTTAAACCCGGTTCTGGTTTCTAACACCGATTCCGGTTCTTAAACCCGGTTTATCTGAATCCGAAGGACCCGAAACCCGGATTACTCAGAACCCGGATAAAGCTATTCTTTAAACCTAGAACCTAGACCAATTCTACATATTTTGTTTTCAACGGTTCCGGACCGGTTTAAAATCTCATCCCTTGTGATTGGTGACGATGATGGTGGTCGGAGATAGTGATCGACCAATGAATAGGTGGTGATGATGTTGGTGGCCGTGAGACGGTGGTATTGGGAGTGAGGGAAATATCGTCATTTTTAAATTTTAATAACTATAACTATTGCGTTAGCCTTGTTAAGAGCGAGGACCATTGGTGTTTTCAAATAGTGAAATAAGTACTTCCTATGATGAAATTGGAATACTAAGACCACAACCTATGATTTGTGCAAAATCACAGGGACCAAAACTGTATCTTACTCTTATCTCTACGCCTCTCCCCGCTTTCATCTATTTCTCCCTCTCTCTTTCGCCAATTTGCTGCCATCGATCAAGACATTATCGAGCCTCGAGTATTCAAGAAATGCATAGAGAAGCCCATTAGCAATGGAGGTCGAGTATTCAAGAAATCGCTGTTCTCCTCGAATCACCTTCATCCCCTCAAGTTCAGGCTCTCTCTCTCTCTTATTTATTTTTTCTCGATAATTACCATATGAGAATGTAATTTGTGAGCTTAAGAACTTGTTGGGGTATTTCGATGAGCTTATAACGACAGCTTTTTAATCTTTAAGCGTTTGTTAGAACCATTTAGGAAGAATCTAGATTAGTATTTGTATTATGTATGTATGGTAAGGATGCTTGTCTACAAAAAAATATGACAATAACAAGCAAAGGGGGTTATTTCATTCTTTTGCACACCACCTGTTTGATATATTGCTTGAGAGAAATGAATTGTCATCTTTGTATTTATGTATCAAACTCAACAAATCCTAAACTCTTGGCTGTTAATTATGTGCAATATTAACACTCGAAAATTGGAAAAACTTACAGGCGTTTATGCTGACATGGAGTTTGAAGAAGGTGTTCGAACACTTTACACTAATCCTTTCTCTGATTTTGAAAATTGCAATATAACATTCCAAAATTCTAAACTCTTGGTTGTATTTATGTATCAAACTCAACGAATCCTAAACTCTTTCTTTGATTTTGAACGAATTATGTTTTCATAACACTTTACATTACTAATCCTTTCTCTTGGCTTTGACATTACTTTCTTGCAGATTGATTGTCTTGTATGCAGTTACTGTTTTCGGTTTATTGGGTCAATAAAACTTCAAATTGGGAGGAAGCAATGACAGTTATAACAGTCTCATATCCTCAACAAGGTTTCCTTCATTCTGATAAAAGTGCAATTACACCTCCAAAATATGCCCAAAGATTACATTTTTCATCTAGGTCTCAGAGAAGTCTTTCTGATGCCACCAGTAAACGAAGAAGAATTCTAAAAGTTGTTGTGGTCACAGCAAAGTCAGGTATGGTGATTGAGAAACAAGAGGAATTCAAGCCTTCATTTGAAGAGTATTTGAAAGCCATGGAAACTGTTAAAAGTCGTAGGGAGAAGCGCAAAGTCTCCACAGAAACACCACCACCACCACCACCATCATCATCATCATCATCATCATCATCATCATCACCTTTGCCTAAAACTGATGAAGGAGCCCTTGAGTTGAGTGATTCCCAAGATCAAATTAGCATACAAAAGGTGGAAAATTTGAAGCAAGTTGAAGTTAAGAAGACATGGTATAGAAAGAAAATCGATCCTAAAGAAACTCAAGTGGCTGAAAAGGTCAGAGATATTAACAGAATCCCAGAAAATAATGAAAAGTACGAAAATTTTCAAGGACAAAGGTTTATCATGAAAAGGGATTCTGATATAAACTCTGTTTCAAGTGAAAGTTATATGAAACATGCTGCTGTAAATAAAGAAAAAACTGTTTTGTTGAATTTGAAGCAAGATGATGTTATGAAGAAATGGACTCGAAAGAAGTTAGATTCTAAAGAAGGCGAAATAGATACTAATACCTTTCAGAAAAATGAAGTAAAACATGATAAATTTCAAGAACAGAGCTTTGACATGAAGAAGGGTTCTGAAACCACAAGTAAAAGTTATGTGAAGAAGACGATTGTGAAAAGTAACAGAGTGATTAAACATGATAATTATGATAATATGGATGTAGAAAGAAGTGCTTTTAAACCCCTTGAAGAATTTCAAGATGTTTATGATCAGCCCAGGGTTTCAAGAGTCGATATGGAGGAGAGAATCCAAAGATTAGCAAAATGGTAAGTGCTGACTTTACTACTTCATTTGTGTTTTCAATATAATGTTTCACAATTGGTTTTGAATAAATTTGATTCACTGGAATTTTATCTTGACAGTTTGAATGGTGCATCTGTTGATTCTCCTGAATGGAATTTCTCTAAGATGATGAGAAGTGCAAAAATCAGATTTGCAGATTTTTCAATGATAAGACTTATTCAGATTTTAGGAAATTATGGAAACTGGAAGCAGGTGCTTCAAGTCATTGAATGGATGCAAGCAAGAGAACGCTTCAAGTCTAACAGGATAAGGTTCTCATTTTTGTTTCCTTAATAATACTATATATAATCTATCAAAGATTATTCATATATCTTATTATTATTATTATTTATTCTTAATTTCTTACTTTCACAGAAACATTTACACTGCTGCACTTGATGCACTTGGGAAGGCAAGAAGACCTGTGGAATCACTGAATGTATTTCACACAATGCAGGTAACATATAAAGAGTAAATTTTATAGTTTGAAAATGGACATGACTTTTATAAATTTTACATTTTTTTTTTTTTTGTATTGCAGCAAGAAATGGCCTCATATCCAGACCTTGTAGCTTATCGTTGCATAGCTGTCACCCTTGGACAAGCAGGTCATATGAGGGAACTTTTTCATGTGATTGATTCCATGAAATCTCCTCCCAAAACGAACCTGTCTACTGGTGTTCTTCAAAAATGGGACCCACGTCTAGAACCAGATATAATAGTCTATAATGCTGTCAGTTTCTTTGAATTCCATAGATCTTTCACTATAATTAAGTATTTGTTTACACACTTTTCATTCCAAGTATTTATCTACATGTGATGTAGGTGCTAAATGCATGTGTGCGTCAAAAAAATCTACAAGGGGCATTTTGGGTATTGCAGCAGCTAAAGGAACAGGGACAACAACCTAATACCATAACATATGGACTCGTAATGGAGGTATTCATATTGTTATTCTCTTGTTTTCTTTTCTATAACTTATATTTATATTTATATTAACTTGTTTTTTATATGGTGCTGAAGGTAATGCTTGCATGTGAAAAGTATAATCTCGTTCACGAGTTTTTCAAAAAAATGCAGAAATCATTTATTCCAAATTCCTTAACTTATAAAGGTAAGCTTAACTTCATCAGGGTTATTCCATGTTGTATTATTCCGTTTCCATAGTTTCTGAATTCATTCCGATTCCATAGTTGTTGTGAATACACTCTGGAAAGAAGGGAGAATTGATGAGGCAATTGCAGCTGTTGAAGATATGGAAAAACGTGGAATAGTTGGTTCAGCAGCAGTTTATTATGATCTTGCTAGATGCTTATGTAGTGCAGGAAGATCCGATGAGGCTGTTGTTCAAGTAAAAAAAAAAAAAAAACACTTCATATATACTAATTTATAAACTCGGTTTTTAATTCTATTCGATGTAACGTATTTTCTTTCATGAACAGATTGAGAAGGTGTGTAAGGTGGCGAATAAGCCTTTAGTGGTGACTTATACTGGTTTGATACAAGCTTGTTTGGATTCAGGGAAAATCGAAAGTGGAGTCAAGATATTCAACCATATGTGCAACTTTTGCTCCCCGAATTTAGTTACTTATAATATTATGCTCAAAGGGTACCTCGATCACAATAGGTTTGAAGAAGCACAAAAGTTGTTTTATAAATTATTGGAGAATGGGAAACGTGTTACAAGTAATGATGATTATAGACACGTGGTGTTACCAGATATTCATACATTTAACTTGATGTTAGACACGTGTTTTTTTAATAAAAAATGGGATGATGTTGAGTTTATCTACACAAAGATGCTACAACATGGATTCCACTTTAATCCCAAACGTCATTCCCGTATCATATTAGAAGCCAGAAACGCTGGAAAGGTAAAAAAAAAATTTTTTTGATAAAATGTTTTTGTCTGTTAATTACTTAATTGATTTATTTTGTAGGTGAATTTGTTGGAAACAACTTGGAAACATTTAATTGAGGGTGATCAAATCCCACCACCACTTCTTGTTGAAGAGATGTTTTGTGTGAATATAGAGAGAGATGATTATGCAGCTGCTTTCTCTTGTTTAATCTCTCTTCCTTCAAGTGAATCGCATAAATATTCCCGAAAGTCATGGTTGAATCTTTTTAGAGACAATCCTAACCTTTTTAGGGAGGAAATACTTCATAAGGTAAAAACTTTGTTGTCTAGAAATGAAGAACTGAATACAATTCTTTTGAATTTAATGAAATGTTGTAAAGAAATTCTAGGGTCCTATGATTGATTCATGGGAATTATGTTGTAAATTGTTTTTGTGGTATAAGGTAAGAAAAAGACTTGGTAATCAAAAAATATACAGGGAAATCAAATCAAATAGAGAGCACTACAAACTAGAATACAATGCTTCATTGAAGAGAATCATAGGAAATTCTTTTACTTAAGTTTTACACTTTACTCATTTACCTTGTTGGTAATAAATTATATACCAGTTTAAATTAAAATTACCAATTTGTACTTGATGGAATTTAATTAAATTGAATCAGAAACCAAACGTACAAAAGGGAGTGGTAGTAGTAGAGGGGTGGTTGACAAATTTAATTTGGTATAAATTCAGTGTAGAATATATATAAATGAAATGGTCAGAGATATAGAATTAGAAACAAAGCTGTGTTGAACACCAATACCCACGCACATGGCATGTAGGCACAAAGTAATCGAAGCTTGCTTCTGATTGCATTGCAATAAATTAGGAAAGTGTATAAATGGATCCCAGTTTTAGGTCTGATAAATAGACCAATGGAGGATATTTAATTTCTCAAATAAAAATATGGTACCAAACAACAACATGATCGGCCATTAAATGCCGACAATAAATAAATTGAGCTTAAGTTATACCAAAAATTATATTTATGAAAAATGAATCTGAAATATTTTTAACATTTTCATTAAGTTATATCTAAAAAAAATAGAGGATAGATTCCATAAAAACAATAATTTTTTTAGTTTAGCTGGAAGAATTATTTTCTGATTCGACAGTCCTAAATTTTGAAATTATTTTTCAAAAAAACTATCGTAATTTGCTGCAAAGGGTTTTCAGGTAACCATAAACTTTAAATTCCAACAACCACTATAGTTTCATATATATTTTTTGATTTACCTATCTGAAGAATTCTTTTTCTGAGTTAACCACAAAAAAAATTCTTATTTAATCACCCAGAGAAACTTTTTTTTTTTTAATTTGGATATTTTGTCTTGTTATTTCTAGTAAACTTATTTGTTGTAAATTTAGCAATATTTTTTCTATATAACTGATAAAAGCTTAAGTTGTTGATAATATCTATTTCTTTGTTGATTTTTTTACAATATTCTACGTCGAAATATAGAAAACCCTTTATAACATGCCATAAAACATGATGCTTAATCTTTTTATTTGTTAATTTGTTTTAACAAATATCATTTTTATTTAACAACAATTCTTATTACCAATCACAAGCCTAGTAAACACTGAAGCAAAGACTTTTACACTCTTACATATTGGAAGAAGCTACTTGAAGCTTATTAACCATTCAGTCCACAACAGATAATAAGAACTCTTCCCATTGACAATAGAGAAAAGAAAAAGTATACGGCATAACAGCCCCTGCTAACTGATGTTGCTAGTTAAAAGATACATTTTGGTTTTAATGTTTAAAATATTTTAAGCTTCAACACTAAACCTATCTAATTACATTTTTTGAAAAAAAAAATTGTAGTTTGGATAAATAATACAATAATAGAAACACTCTTGCTATTCGCGGTCAATGTTAATCCGACTCATGGTGCTCATTGTCAACATTTTGATTTTTTTTTATGTTTACAATTTTTTTTTTTTTTACATTTTAAGCTTGATGTTATATTGATACTATACCATTGAAAGCTACTTGATTGTATACCATTAAAGGTGATTTTGACTTGATGTTTAGTAATTTTCATCTTTTAAAATGGTTTTCCATATCATCATATAATTGGGAAAAACCCTTATGTTTTCCATATCATCATATAATTGGGAAAAACCCTTATGTTACGGTGGGTTTTTCAAAAAACTATTTAACGTTTTTGAGGTTATTTTATTTTTATTTATTTATTTATTTATTTTGAAACAAATGCATTAATATAGATAAAACCAAACCATTAGCAAGAATCTAAAGAGTGGAGTACAAGGAATAAAAGAGAACTGAAATATTTACATAACAATACAACCAAAACAGAAGAGTAAAAACATGTATTAGCCACCAAATGTGGAACAACTCCATTCTGTCGAGGTCTTTCCCAAATTACCCTTGTGTTTAAACCACTCAAAAGCCTGTGCAATAATGAGATTTACCGTTCTTGTAGGAGATATATTGATTTTGTTGAAGAGTTTGCTATTTCGAGCCAACCAAATGTTCCAACGTGAGGAGTAAAGGATCACATTAAGTGACAGTCTATTCCTCGAGCAATTCCCCCAAGATGCAACTATTGGAATTCAAAATATTTTCCTTATTTGCCCTTGTATATCCTCCGTATATAGATCCTTTTATGCCAGCTCTTTTAGCTCTTGATTCTTGGCTTATTAATTGTATAGGATTTGATATAATCCCCTTCCTTGTTTTCTGTAAAGTTTATAAAATTAACCAATAAATAATTGAAATTCTTTATGGTATCAGAGCACGTCTGTAACACCCGATCCTTGTAGGTATTATTATTATGATGTTTAAACTTTTATTTCAAGAATTGATACCCTACACTGAGCATAGGTGGGATATTGGATGCAGGGAGTTAGTGACCTACACTGAGCATAGGTTAAGCTATGTCAAGCGTAGGTACGCAACATCAAAACTATAATCCTTAGGATTGTGAGCCCTATATAAAGGCTCTAACCCCTTAAGGCCCTCTCCATTACCGTTAGTAGGCCTCATTCACGAAGTCGGTCTATAAGGGGGGTATAAGGTTACTGCCTATAAAATG